TGCTGTGGGAGACTGTGTCAAAGGCTTTCCTTCAGCCCAAACCATTCTGAGATGCTGGTGCTGCCTGTGTGGTGGGAAGGACCACAAATGTGTGAGGGTGCAGTAGGTGGAGCTGTCACCGCGTAGGTGCAGAACGAGGGTGCTCACAAACCAGTAGCTGTGTCTTGCTGTGCTGCCTCGAAACTTGCCAGCCCAGGTGTTACCCTGATGGACTCGCTTATCTGATATAACTGAGGATAATGTGCTGTGGTAGGCAAAGGATTGCTTCTCTAGAAAAATTACCTGTTCTCTGAGCAAGTGGAAAATTGCAAAGCTTTGTGAAGGAGCAGATTTCTACCCAGGGGTGTAAAATTAGGTCCTAAGAAGACTGGGCTCGGAAAGATTTCATAGTATTCTTTGTAGTGATGTGGCAGTGGTGCTTCACATCCAGTTTAGGAAAGAGCTTTGCTTTCAGAGGGGAGTTCTGCTCCGTTTCCCTTTGGGAAGGAGCTCTGGCACTACGACCAGAGCTTCACAGTTACTGCTGTGTGCTGACTGACAACTCAGATGAAATAATCTCCGCTTCTGCCTCTGCACTGTGCTGATGTTTCCGCAGAGGCAGAGCTGCTCATAGCACAACGGTAAACCTGCTGTCCCCAGAAAAGAGATACTGGCTGGCGTTTGAAAGGCTGAGTTGGAAACTGGAGAACATACAGCTCAAAATACAAACTAAGCCTCTGTCTACTTTCCAGACATCTGTTTATTTTTTTAATTTCTTCTGGCCTGTCATTCTGCAAACTATCAAGCAACTCTTTTGTCGCATGTCTCACCTATATAATGTTGGTCGTTAAGTTTATATCAAGTCTAATTAGTCCTTGTGTGACTAATCCCTGCCTGAACTGGCTAGCCTGGGGTGCTGCTTATGTCTGAGACCTCTGCAGCTACAGGAAAATGAAGAGATGCAGTCAGATAAGTGCAGTGGCCAAACCACGCCCTGTGCTGGAGGAGGAGGTGGAAAAAACACAGGGCCAGACCCCAGGGAAAATTATTCTCGACCTCAAAGCTGACAAGCAATCCAGTTACAAGAAAAAGGGGGGGTTTTAAGCGTATTTTCTGTGTGCAGCTCTGGTCAATCTGTGGTACTTCCAGTTCAGAGGGGGAGGGAGCACATCGAACTTACTAGATGCCAAAATAAGTGATGTCTGTTGAGCCTCATAGACAAATTGTTAGCCCCTGAAGAGCCGACCAGGTGTAAGTGTGTTATGGGCAGAGTAAATTATCCTTCTTATGGGATGGGAAGAAATGGAAGGCCTAACACTGATGTTTTTCTGATGGCTCTCCAGCTGAATGCCTTGCAAACAGAAGCTGTATTGGAAGGAAGGAAGGAGACAAAAAGCTGTATTAAAGTGTATCTTTTCCTACTAAATGACACTCCATAGTGTCTGGGGGTCTCCAGTTGTTTGTCTAAATGTTTTGGAGATCTGACAAGTGTTGTCTGACAACTGCCGTGTGTATTTGACCATGATATGTGTCAGGTTTGGTGGGGTTTTTACGACTTTCTGAGACCTCTTAACACTGGTCAGCTTTGAGGAATTACTGTAGGGAATTAAACTGAGAGAACAGAATAGTTTGGTTTACATGTTCGTCTCTGAAGGTTAAGCACCTCCGTTTGAAATGAAAACACGGCTTATAAATAGATTCCTCTTTCACAAAATGCAAAACAGTCTCTGTTTCGCAGGACAACAGGAACCAAAAACGAGCCCCAGAACGAATGAGCGCTAGAACTGCAGGGACACGCTGTGCAGGTCCACCTTGGGAAGTTACTGAGCTAGAAACGCTGAAGCTCTCGGGTGAAAGGTTTGCATTGCAGTTTATCTCAAGAACCTACTAAGAGAAATACTGCGTTTATATAGGAAGTCTTTTCGCAGACTATTTGTGGCATTTGGTAGTGTCCCAGTAAGCGATCTGCTGCTCTGCCTTTGCAGTGTAGTGCTTTCCTGTAGCGTAGCATTCAAAATAAGCATTAGCATGCTGTAAATAAGAGTGGGCAAGCCTTGAAGCGAAACGATCAGATCCTTGGAGGCCCACGCTCTGTAATTTATCACAGATTTGGTCCAGAGATTAAAAAGGAGTAGATGAGAACAAGGGGGTGCCGGTGTTGTGATAGCGCAGTGACTCAGTTTAAAATGTCAGGGTGCGTTTTAGTGCTGGGGTTTGCTGGGGGACCACTGCCACGGGTGTTGTTGCAATCCTGAACCGTCGGTGGCTTTGCTAGCCAAACCCTGCCCCAGGTTGCCCTGCTTTGCAGCCTGAGCTCAGCGCTGCTGCAGCTGCGGCGTTATCAGTACCAAAGTTGGCTGCTTTGAAGCCGGTTGAGATAGACTGAGAGGAGCTGCAAGCACACCTTTGATCGTCATGTAGATGTAGTTATAATGAATCTTATTTTCTGATCACAGATATGCTAATAGTAATATTTTTAGGAAGGCGTCGTTTGGATCAGAGGAGGTTGGAGGCTTGGCAGAGCGTGGAAAGCATTTTGTGCTCCTGCTGGGCTACCATATAATCTGGCAAAGCACAGAAAGATGTCCCAAGTTTAAGTAAATGAGTAGTTCTGCAGTTTTCTATGAGACCATTTGAATTGAGACATAGTAGTTAATTCTTTGCAGGCTTGAGCAAGTAACAACACACATAAATACCAGTTGTGCTTATCAACAGAATATGCAAAACAGGTACCAAGAATGATGATATTTTACCATTATCTGATTGTTTTGACATGGCTACCGTGGTTGATAGCGACAGGATCGTGGAGGTCTCAAAGAAAAACCTGGAGGAGGGTTTTCCGTGGAGATCTTCTGAAATGAGCCCCCCGGTCAGTCACTTGCTCCCACGCTGTCTCCCAGCTGCTCCTCTGTTAGGATATTCCTCATTTGTCAGATCTCAATTAGTAACTGCAGCATTTGCAGAGAGGATGGCAGTGACCTTTGGTGTTTTGTTTTCTGCTGCATGTGAGAGACCTGCAGTTTAAATCAACGTGAGAGTGTGAAGTTACCCTGTGTGTATTACGGCTGTAATTTGTAGTCCTCATTTGCTGTTCAGGTTTTGTTTCAGGTTTAATGATTTACGTATTCCATTCTGAGACACACGCTCTGAGGTTTGAATTCAGATGAATCTACTTCTCAGTTACACAAGGACAAAATAAGAATAAAAAAGTCAGAATACTTTAAAAGGTGGGGGGAGGGCCTAATTCTGGCTCCTTGCCTTTTGGTAACTCAGAGATTATTAGCCTGCTATTCCTGCCAGATAAAGGGAATTGTTTTCTGGCAGAAGGGAAAAACAGATTATCACTTTAGATTAAATAAGAATATTTTTTTGAGCTCTTGGGGGGTGTGTGTCCTTTTTTTTTCTGTGGCATGGTTTGGGGTTTTTGTGTGGGCTCTGTCAGATCAAGTAACAGCAGCGCGTGGCTGTAGCTTTTTCTTTACCATGATCTATATGCTATTGCAAAAGAGACTGCAATGGAAATTTTGCCCTGGCAGCACAGAGCACTGTGCACAGATAAGAAGGTTCCAGTGCATGATCCCGCTTATTCATGGGGGTAGCAACTTGCACAAATCTCCTGCTGTGCAGGAAAAGAACACCACGAGAGTGGGGAGGCATTCAGCACCGGTATTGTACTTCCGATTGCAAAAGTTGGCTGGCAAAAGGACAACTGCAGCAAGCAGAGATGGCAAATCTCTCATCATTTGTATTTTTCCTTTTGCAGCTGATGAGGAACACCAGCAAAATGTGGCAGCGGCGGTGGTGGCCAGGCCGCGGCCCCACGCTGAAGAGCGAGGAGATGGGATGCCAAGGCGCCGGAGGAACATGGGAAACCGAATGATGGCCCAGAGGAGAGCGCAGCAGGCGGACGACTGGGCAGAAGGTAAGGTTTGATTCAATTCATCCTGCAAACATTAAAACAGAGCTTCAAAACAGATGTTAAGGTTGGTGAAAGGGTGCGGTTGGCTCCTGAAGGAAAGTTTCCGGTTTTGCTGACTGAATCATTTACAGCTTGCCTGTGATCGAGCTCACTGCCCGACTTCTTCCCAGACTTCCTCATTTATATCTAGATATCGGTTAACTTTAACTGGTACCTACCCTCTTCTGTGGTGAATTGTGGCAGCTTGTTGTGCCAACACTGCATTACAACTTATTCTTCACTTACTTCCTAGAAGCTGTCTTTTGTATTTCCTGCTTAGCCATGCAGGTTGAATATGGGTGAACAGAATCTGCACCTTGCACTAGAATAATGAGCTGCAATAAAATATTGGTTTCTTGCAAATCAGAGTGTTTTAGGTTGGAAAGAACCTTAAAGCCCCTCCAGTCCAACCCCCATGGGCAGGGACACCTCCACCAGCCCAGGCTGCTCCAAGTGCCATCCAACCTGGCCTTGGGCACTGCCAGAGAGGAGGCACCCACGGCTTCTTTGGACAATCAGCAGGGAGCATTAATTCCCCAAAGCAATCTCTGCAAAATCTGGAGATTTCTCTCTGAGAAGCCATCCAGGTGGTGATCAGAATCAAGACGATTCATTGGGGGTCACCACAGACTGCAGCATCTTGTCTTACTGCCAGCAGGTTGTTGACAACGAGTCCTCTGTTCCTGTCCTTTATACTTCTGTGGTGTGGACATAAACAAGAGTACAGTGATAAATAGAAAATAACATCTTCCTACACCCCACAAACCACCCTGCCTTTTCTGGTGCAACTTCACACGTTGTTATCTTTATTACTCCTCAGAGACTCTATCACCGTGATTCACCTACCTGGATTCCTTCTACTTCTAGATTGTGAGTTAAGTGTTTCTAGAGTTTCTGCTCGAGTATTGATAAAAGTGGGCTTTGAGTTTGCAGTGGACACCAAGGTGTCTTTTTGGTCTGCAATAGGTGAGAAACAGTGAGTGCACATCTGCGTGATGCCTTAATTAGGGGCTGGTTGTGCATTCTTCAGCTTTTCTTGTCTTGCAGTTTGTAGAAAGGGTCTTGCACTCGCGTCGGCAGGTAGATGTGCTGTTCGAGCTCATTGTGTTCAGCAGCTTCACAAATGGAAAATTGACGAGCCTGAACTTTTCAACTTTGCTTATTTCTTTGCATGTGAAAACGTCCTGAAAAGGAAATGGAATTGAAAAATTTTTTGCCTTAAACTCCAGACATCAAAAGTTTGAATGCTGAAAACCGACAGTGAAGCTGTCACAGCAAAGGCACATCTTACTTTGTCGCTTTAGTAACAGAAGAATCTGTGTCATTGGGCTTTATAAATAATTCTTTTGCAGCTTACTGTACATCAGATGCAAGTGCCGCGGCTCTCGCATGAAGTTTTCTTTGAAATTACATCCCTGTTTTATTAGCTCTTTTTTCGTTTCTTTTTCAAATTAAACCAACCTCTTGCTTTTTGCTTCTGTTTTGTTCTTTTGTGTGGGAAGCATATTCATATTCTGGGATGGTCTTTCCAAGTGGTCTTTTCCACCACCCAGCAGTACCACCAAAGCCTTTGGAAACCAAACACAGACTATGGAGGGAAGCATCCATCCCTGGCTCCATAGTGTTGATAAATGACCAGTGGCCGTTATTACTTGGGATTAGCCCCCACCTTTGTCATAAACTGGCTGTGTCCAAAAAGAGCCAGGAATGCACATGGTGAAGTACAGTCCCAGGCAACGCAGGACCAGTTGGGGCACTGGAGGTTGAAGAACAAAGTTATTTGCCAGTGTAGACAAAAACACTAAAAACAAGCCGGTCTGGTTTCTTCGGACTTGACTTGTAAATGTGCTTGTTGCTTTAGAAGGCGACTGAACATCTGCAGCTGCAGTGGATTTTTTTGTCGTTGTTCAAACATTGTTAGATTTGCTCAAGTGTTTTAGTAATAAGTTTCTGTTCTGGGTGTGGAATTTCCACTCTGGGCAAAACTACCTGATCCTGCTCTGCGTCACTGCCTGCTGCCACAGGTGGGTGCAGGCATCACGCCAACCCATCGCTGCCGCATCTCTAGCACTGATCTCGGGAAGGGCGTGAGGATGCCCTTGCTGTGTCCGTGTTACCTTCGCAGATGTAGAAGTGGAGTCAGGTAGGAGCTGCTGCTATCACCAAAGTATTCTGCCTGTCGGGAGCCGGTTGTGCTGACTCTAGGAAATGGTCTCGAGGCAACACTCACGGGCTTTGGAGCTGCGGTTAGCATGAGGGTTTTCTGTTTTCCATCCAACAATCAGATTTCAATTCCAGAATGAGAAAGAAAGCTTCAAGGGTAAAATAGTTGCCCACGGTTTCTGCTGCCTATGCTAAGCTGTTGCGCTGTGCCAGTACTCAGATCTCTCACAGATTATGGGGGGATGGAAAACCAAACAAACTGTGGGACTAGGATCAGAGCCTCGATAGCTTTTAATTGTCCCTTCTCTTTTGAAATCCTAATCTTATTTACTTGCGAGTCTGGGTAAGGAGGAGTCATTTAATACAGACAAGGGTAGTAAATGATTGTTTTGAATACTCAAACCCCCACCCAGTGCCAGTGGAGCTAACCCAGGTTATAATTCTTCCTTTAGCTCAGTGAGGTCAGACACTTAAATTACTTGCAGATCGGCACGGACAGAAAATAAAGGGTGAAGTGGTAAATGCCTCGACTTTCCTACCAGAATTGGAACCCACGCCACGTACGTAGCTCCCTTATTCACAGCTTCCATGTGGGCTGTGCTGCGGGGGCAGACCTGCTAGCCCGCTGCCCACGCTGGCTTGGTTTGCCTGAGTAATGGTTTTCAGTAGCTAGTTGAGTACTCAAAGGAGGTCATCTGTTACGAGAATATCAACACCTATTAATAGCCTCTGATGGCCAAAGATTGCCAAGTAATTCTCAAGAAAGTAATTCTCAAGATGACTGAGACCCCTGAGCCGTGTTCCACCAGGCTGCCTTTAGAAAAATGGCTTTGGTCGGCTTATGTCGCCCCATTTAATTCGAGTCATAACACTACTGCCTTTCACACAGCCCAGCGCAATCTAGGCGACTGTTGCTGAAGCCTGTGTGCCTCAGAGGACATCTGCTCTGCATATTGTAGCAGGGTGCTTGTGCTTTTCCCTGTGGAAAATAAGTCTGGAAGAAGAGTTCGGTATTCATGTGGTTAGGTTGCTTCTGACATCCCGGCTAGCAGGCTTAATTAGCTCCCTTGCATCTTAATTTAAATTGAACCCAGACAGAAGTGGCTTTGTGGGGTTGGCTACAGCCAAGATGAAAATAAACTCACTGCGAAGCATTAATGTGTGTGGATTTCAGGCATTAATCGTTTAGGGCAGGAGAGTCCAAGCTAAGCAGTGGAAGGAAGCGAGGAGAGGGGATAAATTAGAGTCAGGCTGTGGATCGTTTGGGACATGGGGTAGGGTGAATAAATAGCATTAGCCATTTTTCGATTTCAGATGCCGTTTATTTATTGACTGAGGAGGGTGTCTTTCCACTTGGATCACCTTTAGGTGCATGTAAAGGCATTTTGTCAAAACTCTTATTTGGTTGCTGGTTCTGTGCAGTAAAAGCAGTTGTCCAATTCTTGAGCTGAGCTGCTGCTTCTAAAGCTGCTCGCTGTGCCTTGAACACTGCAAGGAGCTCTGCGGGGAAGCAGGTACTTCTCTTGACATTATATTTTAGAGCCAACTTGATGTTTGCATAGTTTCAGTACTGTAATTTCCTATGAAGTGATGAAAAACTTACAAGGATGAACTTATAATGGCAAGTATGGTTGGGTCGTCTTGATCCCACTGTGGTGGAAATAACAAGGATGATCTGAACAAATGTCATAGACTCACAGCATGGTTTGGGTTGAAAGGAACCTCACAGCCCCTCCAGTCCAACCCCCATGGGCAGGGACACCTCCACCAGCCCAGGCTGCTCCAAGCCCCGGCCAACCTGGCCTTGGGCACTGCCAGGGAGGGGACACCCACAGCTTCTCTGGGCAACCTGGGCCAGGGCCTCACCACCTCACAGGGAGGAATTTCTTCCTCATATCCAGTCTAAATCTCCCCTCTTCCAGTTTAAAACCATCACCCCTCATTCTATCACCCCATGCCCTTTTAAAAAGTCTCTCTCCAGCTTTCCTGTAGCCCCTTCAGGTCCTGGAAGGTCGCTATAAGGTCTCCCTGGAGCCTTCTCTTCTCCAGGCTGAACAACCCCAACTCTCTCAGCCTGTCCCCATAGCAGAGCTGCTCCAGCCCCTGATCAGCTTCATGGCCTCCTCTGGACCTGCTCCAGCAGCTCAGTGTCCTTCTTGGCTCGAGGGACTGTTAGACATTATTTCTGACAGTGATTTTATACAAATGTAGTAAAACCTGCCTCTCTCAGCCCACGATGCAAAGAGTTTGTGGAGAGACAGGGGCATACAGGAGCATACACGAGCAAAGAGCCTTTCCCAGGGTGGTTCGGTCCAGGTTTGCAGTTCATGTTTTCTGTCACTTGGAGTGGTGTCTTGAACCAAAACTTGCTGCTGTTGATGTGGGGGGCTGGCATTTTTGTTGGCTGAAACCAGTGGGTGCACCCACACAACAATTTATAGGAGTTACAAAGAAATTGGCTTCTCTAAGAAATTATAGCAAGTAAGGGCTGCATCAAAGAATTAATCTGGTTTTTGTCAGCAGCCTTTATTCCTGACTGGAACAAACTACAGGCTCTCTACTTTTGGCAGCAGCACATAACTCCAAAAGTTTAAATATATCCCAACATCTGCATGCTTTTTCTCTGAGCTTTTAGCCCTGTACATCTGAGCACAGGTTTAGGAATATCAAGTCCAGCGAATATTGGGTTACATTTACTTCCACAGAACCAATAATAATAAAGTGAACAGCTTTTGACGGTCTGAGTGCTCTAGCTAGTAAAATAAAAAAAAGATAATGAGAAATTAATGGTTCCAACATAA